CAAATAATTTAAGCCGCAGCAACTGATGATTGACAGAGTCAAAAGCTTTCTTGAAGTCAACAAAAGCTACAAAAATTTTCCTGCCTCGGAATCGGAGATGAATTTGTAAAATTGAGAGGAGAGTAAAGATGTTGTCAGCGCAACTTCTTCCTTTACTGAAACCTGATTGGTATTCCGGTAAAATATTATTATCTCTACACCATACAGACAATCTATTGAGTAAAATTGATGTAAATACTTTGGCGAGTGTATTCAACAGGGCCATACCCCGGTAGTTATTAGGATCATTGATAACCTTTTTTGTGCAACATCGACAGAGCTGATTGATGCCATGCTCGAGGAATATTTTCAAAATCTGGAATATTATTATATGAAGAGCATAAATACAACATCCAATTGTTTGGCAAATAATTTTTCAAAAATTCATATGTTATACCATCCTTGCCAGGAGATTTTCCATTTTTGCAACTAGCTAGACATATTTGAAATTCTTCAAGGGTTATGTGAGAATCTAAGTAAGGATTTCGGGCATCAAACAGAGTTATATCCGATGAAGTTTCCGGAGTAGAAATGAGATCATAGTAATTTTCCCATTCGGGTATAGAAATTTGGCAATATTGCCCCGATGATCTAAACGATTCGAGCGTTTTCCAGAATTCAGACTGGTTTTTTGTATTACAAAGGGAGAGGGTAATTTTTTTTTCTTGTTCAATTTTTTTTCTTCTCATGGTATTTTTATACTGCAGTTTTTGTTTCAAATATTCTGATCTGTAGGGCTCAATGAAATGTTTATTCTTGCATATATTCAATAGGTTCTTGCAATGTTTTTCAGAGTACATACAATCAGACTAATACCAAGGTTTGTTGTTGTAGGTTCTTTAATTAGGTTTGGTTTGGTGGACTAGGTCTAGATAACTAGCCACAGACCAGATCGTACTACATAACTTTGCATAGGATTCTTTGACATCATCGAGAAATACGACATTGGGATTCAGGTATAAATTCAACCTGTAGCTGTCGATCTTATCGTCTCTCCAAGTTAGCTTTTTTGATGTAATATTATTAATTCTTTCACCGCAGTTAACTGAAGCAATTCGACGTTTCAAGGTTACTTGGATAGGAAAATGATCCGATAAAAAAAGTGATTCAACACTTCGAATTTGTCGATTATATCAAGCTTATCATTATTACAAAAACATGAATCAATAACACTTTCTCCTAAAGAGCTCAGAAAGGTGTAATTGGCAGGCCTATCTGTGTTGATACTTCCATTCACAAGTGAAAAGTTGTTACTGAGCAAAGAATCAATTCGTTTACGGCCCCTATCATTCACAAATTTGTCCAAACTTAGCATGTTTGGGTACACAACCGTATTCTCTAAGAGCTCATCCGGTAGTGAGCCCAATTCTCCTATTCTACAATTGAAATCACCTAATATAATGAAACTGTGATCATGATATATCTCAGAAATATCGAAAAGTGCCGTTTGAAACATATTCAAAAGTTCATCTAAGTCTAAGAGAGGCGGGAAATAGGTGTCACATATAATAAGTTTATCATGTTCGAATAGGTATATCATCTACCAAGGAGAGGTATCGAGGTTACGAATTGAGTAGAATTTCTTTACATTATGGCTAAACCACCAGATGCGCGACCTCGAGACATCTCCTTCAATGCATGGAAATAAACAATATTAAAATCGGAACGTAAACAAGCAGGGACTAAAAAATCACTCATCGACCATGTTTCGCACATACAAAATATATCAAAATCAACAACGTGATTGTGGGAAGAGTTATTCAGATTCTTCATACCGTTTATATTTCAAAACACTACTTTTCTGCCGAAGAGTTTTTTGAATAACTACCCTTCTTGTTGACCTTGGAAATGTTCTGCCTGGGAGATACGTCCTCATCTCTTGGTCTTTTATTCCGTTCTTGCCTTCCGGGATTAAGCTCGATGATTTTAGGTTGGTTTTTGACAAATTTAACCGTCAAATTCGTTTGTCCTACTGCATTCCGCTTATTTAATTCCTCATAAGCCGAAGAAATTTTCAGGAGTTGCTTAGGTGTTTTATCGCTTTTTATTTTTATATTTGAGTAAGTTTCTGCAATATTCGATTTGTTCCTGAGGACTTGTAGAGCATCTTCCTTGCTAGAAAATTCGACTCTTATGGGGTGGGGTTTTTGGTTATTTGGTTTTCCTAGTCTAGATATAGCTTGAATTTGAGGAATGGCAGGGGAAAGTATATCATTCATAATACATCCGACTACACTTTTGGCATCAGCTGTTTTATCGATTCCAAAAACGATTACGTTGCATTCGCGTTCAATGCACATTTTTACTTCCTCGAAAATATCCTGATCAACCTCGCGATCAGTATAATGGATTTTTTCCTCTAGTTCACCAAGTTTAGTGCTAAGATTTTTGGTTACTTTTTTCAAACAATCCACTTTCTGTATGCATGATTCAAGTTTTGCATTTTGAGCCACAAGCAATTTTTGAATGTCAAGAACATTCACTGTTAGGGTGTTCAATTGCGAAACAATCGTTTGAAGTTGCGTTGATAATTGCGAAGTGTCGGTAGTCGTCAAATCTGAATTATCCATTTTACAAAGTATATATATAAAGGTACAATCAACACAGAGGTGGTTGACCTTTCAGAATCAGTTCAAAACACTTGGCACTAAAAAAGAGTCACAAAAAATAACGAGAAAACTAACGAGTTTATCAGTTCAGGTTTGAAACAGTTATTGTCAGTGAGAGTTCACAAAAATGTCAGATAGATTCGATCAATTTCGGTATATAGTTCGTATAGTAATTTCAAGTGAATCCACTTGTTTCACAAAATAGATCTCGAAGAAAAAATTACTGATTGAAACTGGGAGATGATAATATTGGAAGTCAATATCACGTATATCGCGAATTCCACAGGCTGAAGGATTTGTCGGAGCGCACGGTGAAAACGTGTTCGCGCGATGGAAGCAATAACCCAACTTCAAGTCATATTCATTGAAACTGGTGAGATACAGGATATTCATTTCATTTATCAAAGTCTCATTTTCCCGTTAAAATCTATGCTGATTTTGAAATACTTTTTCATCCCAGACTTTCTGTTCTTCTAGGGTCAGCATATTTTTAATTTGACTATGCCGTATTCTCTCATCCATTCGGAATTTCCGTTTTTCCCTTCTGCTCTTGCCAGGTGGTGGACATCTGATAATGTCTTTGTCCTCGACGTTCGGTACATAAGTGGAATAATCATCATTACCCCAGTTCTCTTCAATTTTCTCCATTTTTTCAGAAATGTTCATGGTTGGGGGACAGCAGTACTAATAGAGGATTCTTCGCGTAAGATCTGACGACTTTTATTGGCCTCGTTTGCTTGCAAAGACGTTTGCACAATCCAATTGTCAATTTTGGTCTGCTCAACCAACAACCACTTGATTACGCAATCCCGGTCACGACATACAACACGCTCCACATGTCAATGCAGACATATATGACGTCACATGTGCAACGTACAGAGATATCTGTGCAATGTACAGAGATATGACGTCACTTCAACGTGTAGATGTCAATTTGTCAAAATAGGTTTGGTTTTGGTTTTATTTCATTTTTATTTTATTCTGATAAATAGGTGACCTCACTCGATTTATGAAATACATGCATAAACCTACTGGTTATGTTATATTATAATAATTATAGCCCTGTGCATTTTTTATTGATGATTTGAGAATATAGCCATAACATACACTGCAATGAAATTTGGTACTCAGGTAGGTTCCTTTCTCCAAATTGAACCAAATTGTACATGGAATTGTACCAATCCTTATCTGATTTTTCAAAAATGAGAATAGAGAAACCACATCAGCAGTATCATTGGCTGCATAAAAATGAACTTATTAACTGGAACATTTGCCTCTGCATTCATCTTATCCCAACTTGAATTTGATGTTTTTATATAAACATGTTCCTTCTTTGCTTTAAATATGTTTGTTTTGCTTATATATGGAATCTCATTGATATTATCTGTTTCAGAATTTTTTTCTGCACATTGCCATATACACAGTATTGATATCAGTCACAACAGTATCATGTGATGAACTCCAGAACAATGTGATGAGACAATATTTTTCTGAGGGTTACACTCAGCCTGAAATTATATATTTATTATTTTTTTATCACAATATATGCATTTCTTTGGGGCAATCACCAATACAGGAGATAATTTTGGCAATACTGGAAGAAATTCAGGATGGTAGCGGAACATGCCTAGGTAACAAAACCTTATGGAGAAGGTTGAGATTAGTGTATGGTATCCAGGTCAAAATAAGTATGGTCTTGGAAATACTCAGAATGGCTGATCCAGAAGGTATTGAAGCAAGATCACATAGGAGGCTGAGACGTCGAAAATACATTGTTCCAGGACCAAATTTTGTGTGGCACATGGATGGTTATGACAAATTGAAGCCATTTGGGTTTGCAATCCATGGAGCCATTGATGGATGTTCAATAACAATCCTTTCATTCAGCTCACTGTGGAAAGTGAGCTTTGAACGCAAAACGCCTGCCACAGAATGTTAACCATATGAGTCTGTGGTAGGCCGCATCACTTGGTGCATGGGTGGTGCGAAGATAAGGGATGTCATGGCTGCTCCACGGGCCGCATTGTCCTGCGATGATGTGGTGCGTGCGATGCTACCGGCCTCCACGATGGCGCCGCTGGATACTGCTCGAAGGCTCTACGGTCATTAGAGCAGTAACTAACAGGTAGCAGGGAGCCAGCTGGTGACCCGGGCGGGCGCCAGTGGCAGGAACCGGTTGTGACCTGCCCCCTCTGGCCAGCAACTCGGAAGGGAAAGGTGAGGCGAGCGCTATCCTTAGGGGGCCCAGCGACCTCCTCCGTCCTAGCTAACTCAAGCTAAGCCCTCGGTACCAAACGAGGAAAGTCAGCTAGTCTTTTATTTTAAATAATTGATTGATTGCACCCAACTCGAATGTTACCTGTTTGGTCTGGCGCATCGACGCGGGCTGGCCGATTCATCTCCGTCCCTCGGGGCGGAGGGTATCGCAAACGAGATCAGACTCGGGGGGATTCGGCCTACCAAGCCGATTCCTCCTTGAAGTCTCAGGAAGGTAACGATAGGAACATGAGAAACAATGACAGGGCCCCTCCTCTGAGGGGTCGCCTTCCAGGGGGACAGCATCGCGAGCGTGATGTTGCGGAGGTAGTAGACTTGGAAGAGTATGTATGTGAACACTGCCAGAGACCGTTCGTCACGAAGGTGGGGCGGTCGCAGCACGTGCGACGGGCTCATCCGGTCGAGTACAATCGGGAGATTGTGGTCGACAGGGCGAAGGCTCGATGGTCTGAGGAAGAGGCGAGGGTGATGGCGCGTGCCGAGGCTGAAGCCACAGTTGCGCAGGTACGTTTCATGAACCTGAACCTGGTGGAAGCCATGCCCGACCGTACTCTGGACTCGATCAAGGGACAACGCCGTAAGGCGGAGTACCAGGATCTTGTCCGGCAGTACGTTGCGGACTTGACAGCGCGGGCTGCCACTCCCGACTCAGAATCGTCCAGCGATCCGGAGCCGCTGTCGCCTGAGGCTGAGGTGCCGGTTGGCGAGAAGTTCTTCCGGGCGATTGACCAGCTTGCTGAATCAATCGACTGGGTGGCTCTGGGTGACCAGCACGGCGGTCTTCGGGAGCTTATTGGCGAGTGTCGCCGTCGGGGCATCAGTGATCCGCTCTTGCAGTGGATCAAGGGTGCTCTGCCGGCGCCCGAGCCGATGACGAGCCCAATATTAGTAGGAGGGACAGGAGGCGGCGGGATTATCGAAGGGTACAGGAGCTTTATCGTAAGAACGAGCGTAAGTGTGCCCAACAAATTCTGGACGGGGAGCAAGGCGACCGGGCAATGGATGCAGCACCCGGCGACTTCCACCAGTACTGGCGGGGTCTCCTTGAGACACCTAGCCAAGAATACGTGGCTCCGGATGGTGAGGCTCTCCCCAGAAACAGAAAAGAGCTCTGGTCACCAGTAACTTCTGAAGACGTCACCAGTGACTTCTGAAGAAGTCACTAGGGGATTTGTTGGACGTAGCAAAGCGCCTGGACCTGACGGAATCCAGCCTAGGGACTGGAACAAAGTTCCAGCACCGATAATTGCCATCCTGTTCAACTCCATTATGGCGAGAGGGGGGCTCCCTGACGAGCTCCATCGGTCGAGAACGATCTTCCTTCCTAAGGATATTGGGGAGGGAGAGCGTGCACAGCCATCTGACTACAGACCCCTTTCTATTTCATCTGTTGTGGTCAGGCACCTGCATAGAATCTTGGAACATCGGCTTGGACAGGCCGAGAACCTTCTCTCTGACGAGCAGAGGGCTTTCCGCACAAAGATCGATGGTATCGCAAAGAACCTGTGTGTACTTGAGACCGTCATGCGGGAATCTCGAAGTTCTTTGAAGACGGTTCATCTTGCGTCCTTAGACGTGTCTAAGGCGTTCGATACCGTCTCGCATGAGGGACTGTTCGATGCTTGTCGCCAGGCCGGGTTCCCGGAGGACATGATGGTGTACATACGAGATGTATACCGCAACGGGTATACGTCTCTCACTTTACCACATGGAGGGTCTGTTGAAGAGGCTGTGCGACCGGCCCGTGGGGTTCGGCAGGGCGACCCGCTCTCTCCAGTTCTGTTCAGTCTCGTTATGGATCAGGCCCTTAAGGCATTAAATCGAGACGTTGGGTTCGCCATTGGCACGGAGCGCATCTCCTGGCTGGCCTTTGCGGATGATGTCGTGCTGTGTTCGACGTCCCGTGTTGGCATGCAGAGCAATCTGCAGTGTATTGACAGTGAGTTGGGACGTTTCGGTCTCAGGCTCAACCCGATCAAGTGTAAAGTCCTTTCCCAGGTGGCTTCAGGTAGGGACAAGAAGGTCAAGATTGTGGAGGCACCGCTCTTCCGCTTAGGAGGAGTGGCGGTTCCTCAGGTTGGCGTTCTGGACCTATGGAAATACTTGGGTATTAAGTTTATCGGCACGAGGGTAGCTGGAGCCACTGTCTCGTTGGGAAACGGGTTGGAACGTCTAGGTAAAGCTCCATTGGAGCCACAACAGCGGCTGCATATTCTAAGGACGTACCTGATCCCAAGGCACATGCATACATGGGTCTTGGGAAAAGTTACGGCCCACTACATAAAGCGACTGGACGTGACAATTCGGGCCGCCATCAGGAAGTGGCTCCACCTGCCTAAAGACGTGGCGATTGGGTTCTTCCACGCAGCGGTGAGGGATGGTGGACTGGGTGTTCCAAGACTGGCGGAGTTCATCCCACATCTCAGACTACGGAGGTTACTGCGTTTACGTGCGTCCTCCGTAGCCCACGTAGTCGCCTGTGCGGGCGGGGCAATGGTTGATTGTCAAATCAGCTGGTGTCGCGCTCGCCTGGCGAACGTGCCAAGACCTGAGAGTGCGGACGGCCTTAAAGCGTACTGGGCACGGCTATGGCACCATGCGGTGGACGGAGCTGACCTGTCTCACATTGCCGAAAGCGGTGTGAGTACGGATTGGGTCCGCCGACCGAGTCCCTTCATGCGAGGGGGCGACTTCGTGCATTATAGCTGGGTCCGTGCGAACTCACTGTGCAGTCGTATGAGGGTCACACGAGGGCGACGAGGGGGCCGCGATGTCATGTGTCGTGCGGGTTGTCAGGTGACTGAGACCGCGGGACACATGATACAGCGGTGCTTTCGTACCCATGGCGGTAGGATCCTCAGGCACGAATGCATAGTGAAGGCGGTCGGTAACTCGCTAACAGAGAAGAGATGGACGGTACACTACGAGAGAGGCCAGTAGGGCACAGGAAACCAGACATCACTGCTGTGCGGGGGAACAAGGTAGCTATTGTCGATGTGCAGGTAGTCTCTGGCGATTCGCTTCATAGGGCGCATTTGAATAAGGTGGCCAAGTACGGAAACGAAGCCGGACTCACTGGCATTATCATCGCTGAGCGCCGAGCTGGCCGGGACGGGGCGGCGGCCAGAGTTGCGGCAGACGGCGTTGTGTATGCGACGGTCACCGTCTCGTGGCGTGGGGTCTTGGGCAGTGATAGCATTCGTAGTCTTGAGGACCTTGGTGTGGACCGGCGAACTCTTCGACGGATTCCTATCATGGCCCTGAAAGGCTCCTACCTCAACTGGGTTCGATGGAATGGTATGACCTAGCCCTCGTTTTAGGGGCACCGCGAACTGGGACAGACCATACATCGGACTTGGAGGCAAATATTATGTTATTTTGAAATATTTATTCATGTAATAAGGCCTTGTTTGGCCTGTTTGAATAATAAATAAATAAATAAATAAATAAATAAGCGCTTGCGATGCAGCTTCTATCACTTCAGTAGTAACGAGGTGAGCCACTCTGGCGGACCTCGCGCCATCCTCGCCGGCGCTAAAATCGTGAGAAATTGACGTGAAAATTATCTTTCACCTCGAATTTTCAGTTCCATTCTAGTGTTCAAAGATTCAGAAAGTGGTGAGACACTAACTGTGTAAGTAATTTCCTTTATTCATCATAGGTATCTACATAACACATAAAATTAGGGTAGAGATTCCTGGAGATTGACTTCTCATTGTGAACCAGACCTGGAAATGAAAGTAAACATTGAAATTTGAATATAAAACTCTTCAGGTACTCACCTGTTTGGAAGGATTAATATTTCCATCTCCATTCTATCTTCTGATGTGCTGGTAGATTTTGCATTGCATCTAGGATGAAGTAGCAGGTCTAGGACTTCTGGTACTTCTAGATGAGCCTATGCAGATATTCCTGGTAGGAATCTTGGTTTCATTATCATGAGGATCGTCGTCGTTTTGGTCAGCTTCGAAAATGAAACAATTTTGAATTGGTTTGTTATTGTTTGGCAGCAATTGGAATTTTATTTTGACAAATCGTTTGACATAATGTCAGCAAGGATGTTAGTGTCAAGAGTCATCACACGGAACACTTCGTCATCGCAACACAGACCACCTAGCACTCGACGTTGTGAGAGGACAGAACGTCCAATCACAGAGCAGCAGCCAGCATACTGTTCTCATCACTGGCGCTAGACACTCATCCGGAGGCTGACCATAATTCCGTGGTTCTGTGTGGATGTCGAGTCGTGTCCTCATTTTGATATTCTGTGATGATTCTGTCAGTTTATGGTTTCGGGTAAAGTCAGAAAGGTCCGAATAAATCGAGATTTCGCCGCGTCTTCTTCGTATTAAGCCAATCACAGTGTTGGGAAGGAGGTCACGTGTATGACGCTCAGCGTCAATGTGACAATGTAGGGCTGCGCTGTGTGTTAGTCCTTTTTAACATAATTTTTGGGGACGAAAAACCCAGAAATTTCGATAGGAAATACCCCTTCCAAAATTAGTAGACGGAGTTTCCGTCCTTACCAATTTTACTTGTAGGCTGCAAGATGGAAGAGAAACATTTTCTGTACATCATTTGGAAAAGTGAAGCCTTTCCTGCTAGGGGTAAGTTGGAAATAACCAGTTGGTTCTAGAGTTTGTTATTTTCTATTTGGTGAGGTCGTCAATAATTTGGGGATCTATTCTATTAGATTTGTGGGCCTCCTTGGGATACCTAATCCAAGTCACCCACGAGGCCATCTTGGCATTGTGACCGGTTGTTAGATGCCAAATCTGGATTTGTTGGAGCCCTAGGCCGACTAGTCTCCACTTCGAAGCCTGAGGAGAGGGCAATCCGGGACTTCAAGACTCCAAGTTCACCACGAAGGAGCCTTGGTAGGCAACTCACATGGCCACATCTGCCAGGTCTACTCTGTGTGAGAGGCCTCCGGTACTGCATTGATCAACCTGGGGCTGAACTTTCATCACCTGCTGTATCTCACTCAACTGCGGGACTGGGAGCAGCGACACCAGCACAGTTGAAGGTTGTAGGCTGTCTTCCACCTAGGCTGTCTTCCATGCAGGCTGTCTTCCATGCAGGCTCAACCCTAGCCTGTCTTCTGGCTCCTGAATAATCCTTCAATGGTGGGAATAGTCCTTCAATGATGATCGTCTTGTAGACGGTTGAGTAAGAAACACCACCAGAAATTTTCATTGCCCCAATTTTTTTTAAGTGAAGTTATTACCCCATAATTCATAATTTGTTTTTGTACATGAGGTATTCATCTGATATTGCTACTTTTCACATTTAAATAATAAGTATAAAACTATTTTTCATAAGTGTATATCCCAATATAGTACTATAGGGGGAATTTTAGGAAGTTAGGGTATTTTTGCACCATCCATGTGTACCATTTTGTTAAGAGATAGTCTGGATACTACCAGTCAATTTACACCATTGTGAAAAAGGTGTTGTCAGAATATTTCTAGAATCATACATTAAATTATATTGAGTTCACACAGTGTTTTTTCTCAGGTTTCTCTTTCAGGTAATTAGTTGAATTACTATAATCTTACTTTCTTGGTTCATTTAAATCAAATCAAGTGGCGCCCTTTGTCACTCAACAATCTGAATCCACTACCATTGCTCGCCAGACGAAAAGCTGCTGTGCCTTGTAAGGCAACATAAAAATCTAGTTTAATGTTCAAACATCATTATTCAAAATTGCATAAGTTCGCTACATGTAATGAGGGCAATTCGGACAAAACTTGTTGTTGCCATCCTACTGTGGTGCGGGAGGGGTGGTTGCCGCTGGACACTAGGTGTGGCCAGAGGGAATCTCGTCGTCCATACTAGATGATGACAAGCACTGACCAACATCGCCCGCTGGGTCCATTAATTTGGAATCTTGAGTTGAGTCTGAATGTGCACCGTTAAAAATAATAGCATCATACTACCTAGAAACAATCAAGCAATTGAAGGTTGTACCTATGCTGCTACGGACTGACAAAGGAACAGAAAATAGCATAGTTGGATCTCTACAGTGTTACTTAAGATATCATCACAATGATAATTTAGCAGGCTTCAAAAGTAATATTGATGAAAAAAGCAATTCCAACCAAAAGATTGAATGTTTCTGGTCACAAATGCGCCGGCAGGGTATTAGTTTCTGGATTAGCTTTTTTAAAGATCTAAGAGACAGTCTGAATTGATAGTGATCAGTTAATTGTGGAATGTATTAGGTATTGTTCTGGTCCCATTATTCAAAGTGAACTAGAGCTTTTAGTAAAAGAATGGAACACTCTCACACTATAAGGAAACAAAAAATTACAGAGTTGCCATGTGACAAGCCACACATTTTGTATGATATTCCCCAGCTATTTGATACAAAAGGTTATGGAAAGGATGTAAGAGGATAAGATATTCATTATTTGGAAGATAATTTTTCAGAAAAGCCAATGATTTACGATCCAATTATAGAAGAACTCTTTCAAATATTATTTCCAAATATTAGTACACCAAAAACTTTGGATGAGGGAAAGCAGTTATTCTGCTCCTTTCTGAAATGTCTGTAATGAGCTCTCAATTGTATTTTGTTTGAGGTGCACCTTGGATTTTTTGTTGATCAGAGGGGTGCAATATATACAGGGTGTCCCGAAAATAGCCTGCCAAACTCCACCTGCGTCTTTTACGACCAAAAATAGGAAGAAAAGTTTCAATGAACTTGAGTCGAGAAATGTCTCCTAAGCTACAGCCTCCTGAGAGGAGACTCCTGAAGATGATATTTCTTGAATATTTTCGGGATGCCATTCCGTACAAGGAATAAACTTTCCATGACAAATGCAGTGAAAATAAAATCATTTCAAAATTTCATTCAGGAGTGTATAATACCTACAGAGTGAGACAACATTAAATATTGCTCAAACTTTCTTGTAAGTATGCATATTTTTCGACAATTTGATCTGGGATTATAAAACTCCACACCTCTTTACAGAAAGAAGGTGCTCTTGTTCGGTATCAATAAGATTTACCTCTTTTGAGTAAAATCAATTTAAAAATTACAGGTAGGTAAATTAAAATAAATGAATAAACAAAAACAACATATATACAAATTCTGTTCATTTCAAATTTTGAACTTTTTGGATCTATACTACCAGGTGAAACAGGATCTTGGGTATAAGATAAATAAATGGAATATGAATGTCACTTTTCGTCAAATAAGTAAATGTTTGAAAAAAAAATCCGGTTCCACCGTTCTTGGAAAAGAGGAATGTACCATCGATCCTGACACCCAGTACAGCTTTTAGTAGAATGAACTAAAAAGACACGTTAGTTTTCATCTTCTACTAATTCCTTGTATATGTTTACAATGTCTGAAACTTTCGGCCTATAGGTAGGTTCATAATCGAAACAACGATTCAATATGTTTCTAATACATTCAGGTACTGAAGCAAGATTGGGAGAGCACTTCGCTTGAAATTTGTTTTTCAAGGAATCTTCTCCATTCTCATCATCTACATGCCAAATACTCTCTTCAGTATAAAGTTCAACTAGAGTGCAGGCTAATGCCCATACATCACAATACAGAGTAGACTCACTCTTATCCAACATTAATTCTGGTGCCATGTGAAAGGGGGTGCCCTTTGGATTTTTAATTCCCACTGTTGATCTTAAATGAGTTGTTGTTACTAGAAACCTACTTAATCCTAAATTGCAGTTTGCAGTTGCAAGATATTTTCTGGTTTGATATCACGGTGCATTATGGAATTTTCTTGACCATGTAAATAGTTGATAGCTTGGCATAGTTGATATCCAATATTGT